AGAGCATTAACTTACAGACTACAATGTTTGCAAAACGATTCAACAGTTTATTGCTTGGAGTAAGACCAGCTGTCCCTGTGTGGTCACTCTCACCACTGTCCAACATCTATGAACAAGAATAACATATGAAGCAAAAGAGTTTATGAGAATACAATGAAAAATAAAATACTTCTTACCATAAATTGATTCTTAAATCCCTCATTCCCTTTAGCATGTCCATTAGCAACAAATTCTCCAAACTGTCTCACAGGTATTAAGTTTTTACCACTTTTAACAGCCGAGGTGCCATTACTTGGCATCCTCCTGGCCCCTTCCACTGCAACTGTGAGTACAACTTGTTGACTAACTGTTCCAGCATCATTGTTAGCAACAAAACGATATGTTCCTTTATGTTTCTCCTCAACACTCACTAGCAGTAGGCTACCATCTCCTCTCAGCTCATGAGCATAATCATCAGTCACTAGGTCTCCATTATGATACCAATTGAAAGATGGTTTTGATGTATCTTTAACTTTTACTTTCAAAAGAACCTGACAACCTTCCTCAGTTGTCATATTACTAGGGAACTCTTCTATCACTGGCTTTTTAGGTTTCATTACTGTACTGTAGGTAGCCTCTTCAATTCTTTCTACTGTAATAAGAAAAATTGAAGAAAATAAAAATTTGTGTAAACACAATGGTAACATGTTCATACAAATGCATGCTGCTTGCATTATTTATGAATATAAATAAATAGTGCAAAAACTCCACTTACATCCAATTTCTTCATACCCTGCTTCATTATTACTATTTCTGCATGTACTATAGTATACAGTAGCTTCAGGTTTATTTGTCGAAGTATTTTTAGAAACTATGTCAATATCATTACTGCCTCTTCTTTTTCTGTTTTGTAATCATATTAGTACACAACTTATTTTAAGACTCACTTTAATACATTAACTACTACAATGATGGTTATTGTCACTATTAACACTAGTATGCACACAACTGCCCCAATAACTATGAAAATAACTGAGCTTCCATTAGCAGCATCTGTGAGATAACATACAATAATGCCTAATTAAAAAATGATTAGTAAATTACCTGATGTTGATGTTGGTATATCAGCTGGTTGTATTGGTTGAGTCCTCTCCCCTTCATAAATGACTCCATTAACAGTAAATGATATAGATATAGAAAACAAGTAGTTTAGATTAGGATCTAATCCTCCTATTAGACCTTCAGTAGTACCACCTGGGAATACTCTCATTCCTGTCTCTACTTGTCTCTTTTTTCTTGAGGAGCTACTGGTTGACTCATAATAGACAGTATAATGACTAGCTCTAAGAATTAAATTCCACTCAGCCCTCACTGCTGTAGAATTGAGCTTTGTTACAGAAAACATTTCAAGGACAACTAAAATAAAATATAATTAAACTTATTGTGACACTAATTTTTTTACATATTTGAGCAGTAATATATTCTCTATCAGTCCATTCTCCTGGTCCAATACTAGTATATGCTCTCACTCCAATAGTATAACTAGTATTAGGTATTAATCCTACTATACTGTATATAGTGTCAGTAGTGTTAGTTATAGTGTATGAACCAGTACTGGTAGACTCTCTATATCTTATCTCATATACTGTAATGATACCATTAGGTATTGTAGGAGGATTCCATACAATATTAATTGCATCTGGGTTTTTTCCATGTCTTAGATCAGATATCACACCAGGAACTGTGTTAAGATCATGTTAACTAATCAATATCTCATTGACTTACTTGATTCAGGAGTTAATTGTATTTCTTGTCTAGCTGGTCCATTCATATTATAATTATAAGGTATTATACTCACAGTATAGTTAGTATATGGTATTAATCCTCTGAGATTATACATTCTGTTGTCTCCTCCAGTGATATTAACAGTATAACTAGTGTTTGAAGTGATGTTAGTGTATGTGAGGTAGTATCCAGTGATTGGTCCTTTCCTTCCATTGCAAGGTACTTCATCCCATGAGACAGTCATTGACACTGACTCTACTGATGAAAGTATAATATCACCCACTAATGCAGTAGGGGCTAGATTAGTAATGAAAAGGACAGATAACTACCCATAACAATTATTATCTTACCAGTTGAAAGTGTTTTAGCTGAAAAATCTGTAGTCAGTTCAACTGTAATGTCATATACTCCAATAAGATCAAAGGTACATTGACTGTAAGGAGGTATACCAGTTGAAGTATGTGGTGATGAAACTGATGCTTCACTAGTACCCACTTTTGATGATTCACATACTCTCCTACAATCCCTAACAATATTATAACTAATTGGTACTACAGCAGTTGGTGGACTCCAGGTTAATGTAATGGAAGTACTTGTAATTAATGTAGCTACTAAGACAGTAACTGCTGGATCACCTAAAGGAAAAAATACTAACGTTTTTATTGATATGATAACTTACTAATTGTTAACATAACTGAAGCATTACCACTAAGTAGAGAAGCTGATCCATAAGATGCTACATAAAAAGTGTATGCAATCCCTCGAAACAATCCTGATGTTATATTGAATGTTATTGAAACAGTAGTGCCTACACTAACAGGAGATAAAGTTTGGGGTTTACTGAAGACCTCATAGCTAGTAGCTCCTGATACAGTAGACCAGGAGAGTCTTACATGAGCTAAACCAATACTTAATCTTGTAGCAGTTAAACCAGTTGGAGCATCAGATACTGAAAAATATCATTATGGATTGCAATAACTAACACTAACCTAATATATTCAATGATGAAGTACTATTAGCTGCATCAGGACCACTATCATCATTAGTACTACCATTAATTACTCTGTCATTAGATACAGTACACTGATAGTTACCAGCTTCAGTCAAGTTTGTTACTGTCACTCTTGTAACTGATCCTGGTCCATTCACTATCACACGAGACAGTTCAGTAGATATTCCAGTCCCATTCACTGAACAACTGACAGTAGTAGGAGGACCATCAGAGACATTGAAACTGAGACTGAAGACTGGAGGAGCAACTAAACTACCAGTGGAGAGGAGAGAGAACTGCATAGTAGGATCAGCATCAGGACCATCTGTAAAAGAAGTACATTAATTATAGTCTATATTCATCACATACCATTGTTATTGTATCCAGTATCAGTATATACTCCAACCACTAGTGTTTGATTCACTCCATTCTCATCAGGAATAATACACTTGTATAAACCTTCGTATCCTGATAGCTCATCTCTTCTAGCTAGTGAAATCTGACCAAAGAATTTCTCACTGTACACTGGTCCAGGAGCTGATGGATCAGTTAAGGGTCCATCAAATAAAGGTACTTCAGTTCCATTAGGATAATACCACACTCTAGTAGTATCACTAGGGTTAGCACTCTGACACCACAGAGCATCATTGATACTATCATTATTCTGATCATCATCATAAAACTGGCTAGCATAAATCATAGAGTAATCAGGTATTGACCTATCCTCATAAGGTAGATAGAGTTGAACACCTGCATGCAAAGGTTACATGACATTTATATCTATTAGAAACATTCTGCTTTATTTTACCATTGCTAGGGGCGCTAGTAATTGGGACTAGTCCTTGAGCTCGCACAAGTGACAGTAGACACCACACAATAGTAACAAAATAGATATAATTTGATGTCAAGCTGCTCATCTTGTAACTACTGATTTGCTGTGGTCAAGTTGTTTTTGTGTATACACTTTTACAATAAAAACATAATAGCACAATTAGGGAAGTGTATGTATAATTTTAATAAAAAACACAATAAACTGTAGTTACAAAAACATTTTTAACCTGTTACTGTAAAAGCATACTGACAGTACATAAGAACACACCAGTTCAACCCTCCCTTTAATGGGCTCCTGAACACACAAAAAGTACTTCTAAGTAGTGAAATTTGAATAAGTCTCAAATGAATCCAAGTAGGTCAGCACAATCTGAAATATCCCTTGATATTGTTGCTAAAATACAAAAAAAATTAATTTTTATTCCTATAATTGATTTCACCACCTTGCAAAAAAAACTGGATTTTATTAAGACTTATAGAGGCTTTCTCTACCTTCTAATGCTTCTAGAGAAGTCTTTAGACAGCATCTCTATGTTGTCTTGCTGTTAGAAAGCTCTTCACTTTGTCCCAAGTTTAAGCCGCCATTTTGTTTGCCGTGACCACACCCACTACGTAAAGGAGCGTGGGCGGGTGGTTGCTAAGGCTTATGAATTTTGTTATTTCTCCAATACAACATGTATAGAAGAAATGTAAGTGTGGACATACAAATATATTATATGTATAGGTTATACACCGAGGTAGAGGTTTCTATGGTATTTATTAACCGAGCGACGCAGTCGCGAGGTTAATAAATGCCATAGAAACCGATACCAAGGTGTATAACCAACTTCTACCATGACACTTGAAAAACAACTACCAGCTGCTGATAATAAGACCACAGTTGACATACATACAACATATCTAACAGGCTAGGCCAGTAAAGAATCAACCAAACTTGACAAATGGACTAATAAGAGCATAAGCGTAGAGTACCAAACTGCCAATCAATTAATTATTTAACGAGATAGATTTATATTTTTACGAGCTAGGTTAATATGAAAAATAATTGACCTCCAATACTGCAATCTGATTAGTCAATCACAAGGTGGCATGGTAGAAATATAAATATAAGAGCTCGAAGCGGGTAGTGGTCCATACAAGAAGATAGCGGATGGAGAACTGGATGGCTCCCACTAAAGCTGCTGAACACTGTAATTGTATAAACACGTGGTCTTATTGTCATAGCAACAATCAATTGGTTTCCATGGTATTTAATTGAACCTTTTTATTAGTTTTTATTATCGCGAAAATAAGCAGCCGCAAATATATCCCGACCTACGGTATATAATATATATATATATATATATATACATACATACATACATACAAACATCGCACGTGGGTGAAATCAATTATAGGAATTGAACGACCTGGGGGCTACGCCCCCAGGTCGTTAAAAAACTAAAATGCCCAAAAAATTATGATACTTACAACAGTCTGTACACTGCCTGGTTTTTGAATACGTTGACTTTTGAGTACTTGAAATACATCAATGACTCCTTCAGTTTTACATTTATTAATTGTTGTAGCAGCTGCACAAAACATTGCTGAACGACCAACTGTATCACTATAAAGAAGGAAATTGAAATTAGTATTTAATCAGATTTCTTTCTCACCTGCAGTGTACTACAATGCTTGTGTTTCCTCTCTTCCTTTGTGTTCTGTACATTTCTTCCATTATCATTAAAATAGTCTGAGGATTCTTCACTTCTCCAGTTGAATCCCAGTTTGTTACCTGAAACTGTGTTACACTTTGCTTAGCACCAGTCTAAACAAATCAAATGAAACTATACTTGCATGTATGCTATCTTACATTAGTATTTTTAACTTCAAATTTCCTTTCAATGTATCTATTACTTGTGTTTTCCTTGAGTA